TATTCCCAGAAACACACTTTCAATTATTATTTCCCGCTAATACAAACACACAAATAAACAAAACAAAGCAACAAAAAGATCAGAAATAGCACCAAAATAGCGATTTCACATCAGTGCGAAATATTTGCAATGATTACGTGAGATAGAAGTCGCAGACTATTTCAAGACATCCAAAAAAGAGAAAACTCTTTTTTAAATAAAAAAAAAATATTCCAAAGAGAGGCGATAAACCAAGTGCAACCATAATTGAATATTTGTATTTTGGTAAATTAAGTGGCCGGAGCCAACTTAAACAAAGCCCCAAGTGAGAACAAGTGGCACGGATGGAAAGTCTGCGGCAGACCCTACCATAAACAAATGGACTGCCAGAGCAATTCCACATAGCGTACGATTTAAACATAAACAAACCAAACCAAAGAAAAAGATAAGGCAAAAATCCAGAGAACACAAATTTACCCAAAAAAGCTGCCAATAAAAATTTCAGAGGCACTCGAGTCAGCGGCAACTTGTTTTTTCACCGCTAGAAAAAATGCCAAACCCCGACACGGAACAAGTAAGATCGATATAAGTATTCGGTATGCAGACTTCCAGATACCCGATACTAGGATTCATTTCTAGTGAAACTCACATTAAGTGATTAATGCAACAAAACAACCCTGCTTAAAAAGAGACAATTAATTTAGTTCTAATACCATTATCGTTGTAATGTTAGTCCGATTGAGATCATTCTGGATCATCAGATAATATTTGTATACATACATATGTACATATGTAGGTAGTCGATCCAAAGATAAGTTATATAATTTAAAATCGTATCTGCATTATAAAAGAATTCAGACCATTTATTTATTTAGTTATTGATCCTTATTGATCATTATAATTTAATTCTGCGCTTTTTTTTACATTTTCACGAATGCGGCATACCTTTGTACTTCACCGAGTACCGGGTATAGCACAGTCTCTCCCAGAGGTCTCTTGCTGTGATTTTTATGCATAACAAGCTGCAGATGAGCAGAAAAAAGGAGAGAGAGGCAGCAAAAAACAATTTTTAATCGAAACGAATTAATGAGCAGCGCAGAAAGCGAAATATTTTTGTTGAAATCGTTAAAAGAAGCGCACGCCTGTCGATGATGATGATGTCCTGCAGTGCCGGGCTAGCAGATGCAAACACAGATACAAATGAAGATTCCGATACAGATATGTATGTGTAGTTGGAGTATCCCCTCATTGGAATAACCTTGACCACGCCGCCCAGCTGGGATGATGATAATGCTGCAAAGTTGATTTTAGCCAGAGATTCTCTATCTTCTACCCCCACCCTGGAAGCAGTCCCAGTCTCATACCCATCCCCAGTCAGCCACCTGTAAACGGCTTTTGGCAACAAAATCTGTCTAAATATTTTGCAGCTGGAGGAGCGGGAGAGAAACATTTATGATTTGTGGCCGCGCAATGAAAATGCGTTCATGGAAATGAGTCGAGTAATTTCGAGGCCGGCATAAAATCGAAAGAGAGAGAATAAAACATGTTGCATACATATGCGCGCCTTACCGGCCGGTAAAATATACAGATCTGTATCTATATTTATGTATCTTCTGCTCGCTTTCTCTCTTTTAGTCTATCTCTGTCATGCTCTTGGCCCCCTGAATTTTATGTTTGGTCATTAGCATTAACAAGCTCGCCTCTTCTAGCGCAATTACCTTTTCAAAGTATTTCAATTATTTTAATTTATCCGTGAATTTGGCTATCCATAAATTTGCATGTTTTGCCTTGGGGTGCCACCACCGCCACCGCCACCTCCCCCATCCCCATCCCCATCACCATGCCATAAATGATTCTTCCTAAGCGTTCCATAAATGAGCGTTCATTCGGAACATTTTCATTCGACTCGCAACTGACTTTTATGGCTTAATTATTTACACACTGAAAGTTGCATGGGAATTTCCAAGGTAAATAATTTAGTTCCTGACCTTATCATAGGCTGGAAGGCCAAAGTTTGTGGTCATGGCTGTGGCTTCGGATCCGATAGTTCATTTACCCGATGGAAACCTTGGGGCAACTATTGCGCAGATTTAATGATAGGAATATATTGAGTGAAATAACTGAGTGAAATGATGTGGAAGCATGAAAGATCCCAGCTTGGCACGTGGACACAATGATAAAGATCATTTTGATGGAAATTCTCTTTTATAAATCAATAAATTAATAGTACATTATTCTCATGAATAATAATGGTATTTATACAAACGATTTTAACATCGAAACCATTGAAAACATCGAAACTCATCTTTCAGTAAGTAACACAGCTAAGGATCAATTTTTACCATTTGTTTCTGGAATATGTGTACGTACTAGTGTTAAGTGCTAAGTACCTGGTACTATTTGATGGGAAAAAAATAAATTGAAGAAGTTGAATGAAGCCATGAAATTATTTTGGCAATAGAAAATATGACGAAAAGACTAAGAAAAGTTTTGCGTATATTTAAATATGTATATGTATATATGTATATTATTATGATCAACTTTGCTCCTCATCTTTAAGACCAAAGTCACATAATTTTCTGCCCATATATTAAAGAAATATTCGAATTTTCTGAGCTGTTTTCAAACAGATCACCTAAATCTCTCAGCATTCAAATGCCCATAGTGATATTTCAACGAAACTATTATTTTAATGCATCCACCTGTGGCGGCATCCCCCAACAGCCCACACGGATTTCACAATTTTCCGAGAGCCTGTGGCCTGTGAGAACATTTGTATTCTAGAATTTGCATGTCATGCAAATTCATTGAAATTTACTATTTCGCATATTTAGTGGAAATTTTATGGGATGGGCAAAGCCGAAAAATCCCAAAAACAAATATGCCCTCGTAAATTCGAAGAATAAAAAGTGCTTGCAAAGAGGGAGGCGGCATGCCACCATTTCGAATAACAAGGCCACGGGCAAAACTTTTCCATTATATATCAAACAGAGCGGTTTGCGATCGCAATCACTATCGCCCAAGCGAACAGTGATCGGGTCGCGGTGTCTGGGCTACCAATACAAATACTTACTAAAGATATGTATGTACGAGTATCGGTATCTATAGGTGGCTACTTCCTGGAAGTCAAAGTTCTCTTTTCGACGCGTCGGCGGCCAAAAGTAATTCACCCTGAGTAGTGAACCAATTCAAGCGAATTTTAGTGTACATTTTTCGCCTCGATCAGTCAGAATCGGAGCGCGGAAAAAGATCGGACCAGGCAGCTTCCAGCTGGGACAGCCGCAGAGGCCGCAGCCCTAACCGATCCTCAAATCGATCGCATTAGTATCTTAATCATGCATGTCACAGTCACAAATTGAAACGATCCATCAGACAAAATTTGAGATCGCGCTCCCGTCTCTTCGCGGGGTCTCTCCCTGCGATAGCAACGATCGTAATATTGGCAACCAGTTACGAGCTCTGGGACCGTAACTATATCTGTGCTTACGTATATGGGTAAATCGCACATGACTTGATCGGCTGTCAGTAGTGGGCCGCAAAAGTTGGAGATTTATAAATAGCCCAGCTAAAATTAACTTTTTGCGGTTTGCATTAATAAAATCAAATGCAATCGGTTTTAACTACATGCTGGTATTTTTATTACCATGTCGAACCGAGGGTGTGCTGTATAAGGTTTGATTGGAATGAGTTCAGGATTTTCAGTATGATTTTGATAAAGGAACTTTGATTTGAATAATGATTATTATTATTTACAGGTATATATTTATAAATAAAAATGTATTGAAGTGTGTACGATATTCATCGATCGTACACTGAAACTACATTTGTAGACAATTATAATTTTAACGAATTCTATTTATTTAGCAAATTAATGAAAAGTATTCTTAGTCTTTCTTAGTGGTACGGGGCTTCTCAGCAAATGAAAATATTATTCCTGCTTTAATATACATAATATTCAACAATAAGATCATATGCATATGGAAATTAGTAGATCATATCATATACAAGTCATACACTAGCTTTCAAGGGTGGACTATTCTATATGTTTTCTTTGGTTTCTATTTTGATGATGTGTCTTTTTTTGTTTTATTTGTATCATAATCAATAAATCAATTCGTATATGGATTATTATTTTTTTCTTCTAGGTGCGTTACAGGGTATAAACTAGTTAACTGATTGTTAAAGCACTTCATTGATTGATAGACTGATTTATTCGCATGCATATTCTCAGCTATATTTTTTTTTTATTGCAGATTTCTGTCGTGAGCCCCAGCTGCACTTTTCGGGGTTTTCACTTTCAAATGGGGCACACTTGACGCCATTTGATTAACAGTCGAGAGTTTGAGTTCATCCTGTGTCACATTAATACGACATATTTTTTAATAATTTTTACACATTATGCTGGATACAAACACACATATTTATATATGATTTGATGTGTAAAAATAACAGCTATATCTGGACAATATTTTAATATGTATTTCGTAGTCGGTGGATATACGTGCCGATCTCTGTGCATGCCAAAATAAATAAATAACCAATTTTTAATTGAATTTCTACCTACATTTTTAACCTGTTTGACGGCATTCCGTGGCAATCAACGTCTCACTGCCAGTTGGTGGAGTAGTCGTCGTTGTCGTTTTTATACTCTTACAAAGGGTATTTAATTTTGACCAGATGTTTTCAGTGACAAAAACAAAGCATTTCCGACTCCAAAGGTAATGTTTTTTTTAAGAAGAAATTTTCTTTAATTAATATGAGTCCCAGTATTTTATATACATATTTACACTTCTTACACAAACAAGTAAAAAATATTGTCTATATCCTATTCGAACCCTGATCGAGGCTTCTTTTTGTAATTTTATGAATTTATAGGTTCGAACTCAAATTGGAAATGTTTTTTATTTCTAAAGGTTCCCCAACAAATAACTAAATTTCATAAGGTCTCTCTAATACTATAGTAACTATCGATCGTCAAGGGTATAAGAAACTCGGTAATTTTTAAGCTGTTTTTGTAGTTGATGACGCGCGCTTTAGCTGGTGTTACTGGTATTGTGGTTTGCTTTTATTATATGCATAGTGAATATAATGTGTTGCGTAGTGTAATGTAGTGTATGGTGTAGTTGTTACTGCTGCTACTTTGGATGTTGCTGTTATTGTAAATTGCTACAGCGAAGCGCCGTTGCCGCCTCAGCATCTTCCTCTTGGACGTATGCTTCTTTTTCCTTTTCTTGCTGATCTTCTTCCTCTTCTTAATATTATTTTTCCTTCTCAGCAACAAAGAAGACCTTTCGCAATGATGCTGAGCGAGGCAAAGGCGGGGAGACGTATGCGGCACGGCACATTCAGCAGCATTCAGACTCTGGCTTATCAGGGGCAGCAACGATTGATGAGGGAATCGGAGACATGCGGAGACTGCGAGGCTACGGCTACCGCTGCTGCTGCCGCTCCATTGAAGTGAAGTCAAGTGAAGTGATAGCCGGAGCAGCAGAGAAGCCGCTCTGCCCGGCTGGAATGGACTGGATGCTGAGAACGCGTGTCACACTCAGACGCCACACAGATACAGGGTGTCCAAAAACACATACGATACTCCCCATTAATACCCCATAGGTATAGATATAAAATCATAAGATTCATATAAGGCTACAAATATTTTCAAACAAAAGAATAAAATCAATAGTTTTGGGGAACAAAAAGGGGGATGTAATGCCAATAAAAAAAGACTTGGCAACCTATGGAAAATTAAATTTAAGGCTAATGCTGTTTTGCTAATATAATAATAATCAATTTCTCTATTCGCTTATCTGCTTCCAAAGCAGCATCACCCTGTACCTCGAATAAACATCCTAAGTGTGCGTGTGCCTGGCTCTTTCTTGTCCCAATAACCGATTTGCATCAGTGAAAATGGAACATTTTAGGGGCAGGGCCCCGCACAAAAGCTTTCCGTATAGAGTGTGAATGCACCGCAGAATGTTGACTCTACTTCCACTGTGACTTGAATTTCTGTCCCTCTGCTATTTTCTATGTTTCTGACAATTGTAACAATAAAATAATAATTCTTAATATACTTAACTGTATAATTTACTCATAAAAAAATACCCATATATGAACGTTAACATAGTTTTTACATAAAATTGTAAATTACCCATCGAGCGACTGGATCCTAAGCATTTTGTTGCGGTTTAGACCATATGAAAATGTATGCCAATACATTTTAATTATTATTTGTGGACGATGCAGTTTAGTTTATTGTTATGGTTTCCTTGATTATTTGTGGTTGCCATTTTAGTATTGCACATATAAATTATGTTATTGAAAGGTCGTAAAGATCTGGATCTCGAATCTAGTTTAAACTCTTCGAATCCAACCGAAAGTGGTTTCAGCTGACGGCATTAACTGTGATGCCCACGTTCGTTTCTATCTCTGTTACCACTTATCATGATCATAATGACGACGATGATTATGACGACAAACAAACAAACAGTAAACAAATCCGAGTGTGGACAGAGAACGTGTTCTGTAATCCAATATCTGAGTAGAGGCCAATGAAGAGCAGAAGATGTGATTTTCTTGGGTTTCTAATTTGTGCTAATTGGTTCACCGACGATTTGTTATTGGAAAACTGGGGAGAGCTTTTGATCGGAAAACTCTGATCAAATTCGAGAGAGAGTGGCATTGGAAAAACCACATAATAATTACGAGTAAATTTAGAATTCTGTTTATGTGGATACAATAATTTTACGTGGCTAATATTGGATTCATTACGTGGGCCATAGAAACTGTGTTTATTCGGGATATTATTAATTGGGTACATACTCAAACAGTTACATACGTCAACCATAGTATTATATATAAGCGAAAACGCCTTGGGAAAAAATCATATGTAAATACACTATCGTCACTTACATGTGTCCGATTACGAGTATATTAAACTTTTCTGGGTATTTCCTATTACGTACCCAAGTAATCAACAAACCAAAATCACTTTGTGTATACTTTTATCAATTTTATTTCTGTCCTACATTTGAAACTAGTCAATCTTTTTGTGTGTTTAGGGAATGGTCAAAGGCCCCCTTTAATAAATGTCGCGTTCCCATTGCAAAATGATACAACAAAAACGAAACGGGAAGAAAATGGAAATACAAAACTTGCGGTTTTTTATCGTTTTGCTTGCTCTTAGAGCGTTTTCAAGTTCGTTAAATAAAATTGTCGCCAGAGGCAACAGCTGACGTGTTGCTGTGGCTGATGCTGCCGCTGATTGCTGTGCCACAGAGTGTTGGAGCTAAGAGTATTTTGACAATCCAACGCTCTGAACACGCTTACAGAACCATTGAATTTTTGAGTATCTCAACTTGTATCACTACCACTAATTTAGGGGATAACCAACATCCGAATATTCTTAATTAGCAAGTTCTTAGGAAATAAAACTGATACTATGGTTTTCTTGAGGAAGAAGTACTTCCCACTTCGTGTTACATTACAATTATAATACCCTTTACTAAGGTATAACAACAACAACAGTTAAAACCCAACCCGATTCGGCATCAGCATCGGAATCGACGGCATTCGGCTTTAGCTCGTCGCATACGCGATATACGAGTATGTAACTGTAAATGTAAATTGTGTCTTTCCATTTGAAGCTTATCGAAATGAACGCGCGCAAAAATAACGCATAAATAAATAATTAAAAATGAAATACAAATGCAAACACCAACGATCATGCATTGTTGTGAATGTGTGTGTGTGTTTAAGAGTCTGAGTTGTGTGTGAGCGAGTGCCAAGTGATTTGAACTTTGAAGGCAAGACAAGTTGAGTTTGAGTTATGAATTTATCTAAAATCACAGCATGCTGTCGATGTCGCTGTTACTTGGGTGTTGTTCTTGTTACTGCTGTTGTTTCCCATTTGACAAGTGGTTTGGCCCAAGTGTCAGACATGATAAATCATATGCAATAAATATATCTTCGAAATTGATATGATGCTTAAAAATACTTATTAAGAATGATGGCCGTCGAGGAGAAAGGCCCAGAGCAAAAGTGAATTGCAAAACTGACTCTAGCTTACATTCTCGTATTAGGTATACGCCGTGTGGTCTACAGAGGAAGCCCAAGACAAACCAAGCCAGAGAGCGTGGTTCCGTTCCAAATACTACGTATGGTCGTGTAGAAGTGGAGAACTACAAATTTTAGCATCTTCTGGGCAAACCTGTATGACAAGGTTCTGAAGAAGATGACCTTATACAATATTTTTGAGAGAAGTACTAAAATAAACAGCAAAATTGATGAGTTTTCGATTTGACAGACAGAAAAGTTGCCAAAACGTTTTGTGGGACCACCTTGAATTTGAGTTCATTCATCTTGGCTTAGATAAAAGTTAAGCAGGTGACTCTGCGAGCCGTCTCTGCGAGAGTTAACAAACCTGCATCACAGACCTAGTAGTGGACCTGCAACACACCATTATCGAACATTCAGAATTTGTTGAATGATTTTGTTGAATTTGATAAGCGTGAAAACCCAGAAAATATTTGAGATTTGCCTCAGCACATTTTTAAAGAATATATATATTTTAGAAGAGGTTTATATTTACATTCAGATTAAAATAAAAGAAGTACATACATATGCATGTATGTAGAGAGATCTATGTATACTACTATTAATCGCCAGCATCTTATGCAATATGAATGATTTGATGCTGTGCATATGCCCCATCGAACGGCAGGCAGGCAGGCAGCCTGCAGTATCGGATATCATTCTCAATTGCCTTGGGGCGCCACATCAGGCGGAAATATTCCGACTGAGAATTGCCCAAACGGCATACAGATCGGTGCAAAGTCCAACAGCAGCAGCAACCAAGCACCTGAGTAGAGCTGGCATTAGTTGCAGTTGCCACCTGTCTCCTCTGGTGCATGCCCCTGCCAGTGCCAGAGCTAGAGCCACCAGCCACCAACCACCAGCCTCCAGTCTCCACCCCCGTACTCCTCTGTTTTGCTCTCCGTTCTCCATGGAGCAATTCAAGTACAAGCGAACACCAATGAAAATATTTTTGTTGCTGGGTTGTTTGCATGGAAACGTGATAGCAAAAGTTGTTGCTGACCGGGCCAGGCTCTGGTTGTTGCTGGTCGCATCTGCTTGTGGAATTTATTTATCGTTAAGAAATGCGTGTAAAATAAGTGAAACTATTGGGAGTCTCGTCTCTCTCGCTCCGCTTCATCCTTTCCCCACCGACTCCCATGTCCAGTGTGACCAGTTTCGTTTGCATGTAAGCCTTGCCAGGTTCGGGTCTGGGAGGTGGTGGCGGAGCCCAACTAATGCCACCACTTTTGATAAAAATGTTGGCCTAAGCCAGTTACTGGTTGCCTCCGCCTCGGATGCTGATGACCAGTAGCCACTTTGCCCACAGATGAAGGTGCAAGGGGATGGCAGGTGTGCTGCTGGGCAGCAAATTATTGCCGCATTGTTTAGTTGTTGTTATCAGCAACGTGATTTGCCAGGCCGGTCCAAGAGGAGATGGAGATGGAGATGGCTATAGAGATGCCTATGGAGATGGAGATGGAAGCCAGATTCAACTTTGCTGCTTCATTGCGTGCTCACGATTTTTATTTCGCTTTTTTGTCGAATTTCCGAAAGTGGTAGACCTTCATGGTCTCTTCGTCAGCTGTTGCTGCTGCTATTTAGTTTTGTTATCGGGTTTTATTTTCAGTGCCTTCAGTGCCCACCTTTCACACCTAGCCAACGTGTTTTCAGTGAGATATGTATACAAGTATTACTCTTTTTGCGTTTCACGAATGCACAGCTCAGCACAACCCAACGCAATTAATAATCTAATTGAGCATTGTGTAGTCAGACTTGAACTCTGTTTTGGTGGCCTGCTCTGGCAAGCTCCCTCTGGATTCCAATAAAACGTCAATTGATTAGCAAAGCAAATCAGCTGACGGCATTACTACGATAGTCGTAGATACAGAAAAGCCGATACAGAAACAGAAACAGATACAGATTGCGATTTAGAGTCAGATTTCGATTCAGTTACAAATGTGGACCATGACTTGTGTGGGATCGCGTCTCTCGCTCTCGCTATAGGGCTTATGCAATCGTGATCGATGTCGAATCCATAACAAAGTAGGGTGTAACCACGCCCAGCCAGCCCAGTCACATTTAATTATTCAATTAACCAAATGGCGTCATAAATTAGCGACTATGAGGCATGGTCAAAGGGTTCCTGCCATGGCCAATGTCAGTGTCAGCCGCTAATTGTGATTTGTGTGGAATGCCGTTGATTTAGTCCATCATTTGCTGCGATGAATATTCAATTGACACTCGATATGCATTCGAAACTCACTCGCTTGGGTCACCCAAGATAAGGGCGCATAATGATGGAATTTCACTCTTAGCGCGACACAAAGAGAAGTAGTATACAATTCTTGGAACATTTTGCTATTCGCGTAGTTGCTTAACATTTGAGGCGTTAATCGATCTGGGATTTGTTTCAGTATTAAAAGTCGTATCCTTGAATTTTGCACAAAATATGTAGTACCTCTGTCTTGGTGTCTCATTCCCTTCCCGTTTACAACCGTTTGCGTAATACCCCTCCGTCAAATCCGAATAGATATAGTATTCCCATGTAGGCATAAATATGTATGTGTATAGTAATTTCTTAGTATCATGTTCTCCAATAATATTATACTCGTAGTATACCAATGGCAGTTTCTAGAGCTCTCTCCATAAAATGGATTAGTTTCTCGCATTGGACATGCATCCACCATGGCGTATGCGCGCTATCCAGCTGAGGCCTGTCACTTACCTGGTGCACCTGCTGCAGTTACGCTCAGTTACGCTCCAAAATCCACAAATCCTTTGGCTGCAACTGCAACAACAACCAATTCTGGCAGTTCACGAACGTTGCATACATTATATTCGTACGGGTGCGCGCAGAGGGGGCAGCATGGGATGGATATACACAAGATACTTTTCGATTTCTTTGCGCTCTTTTGGGTATGGAAATCACTGGCACTTCACATGGCTCAGGCAAAGCTCAGACTTTGGCTATTAGCTTTTGGCTTTTACACACCATCACACACACAAACACATGAATACAAACTCAAATTGTATTCCATACAAATCAAAATCGACGACGACGAACAATCGCGGAACCCAACTTGAGGCGAGCTCTGTGGCGCAGAGGAGAGGAGCGCCGCACGACGGATCGTATCGGATTGGATCGGAGAGAACTTTAAGAGCTGTTTACTGTTCTTAGGGCACCAGCTGCTATCTGTGACACTTGTTGCTGTCGTTGTCGTTTTTTTGTTGTTGTTGTTGTTGTCGTTGTCGTTGAGACCTGCTGCAGCCTTAACTCTTATTTTCCGCGACTTTGTTCCGTTGTGGATATCCAGCGGTAGAAACCGCAAGAAAACAAAAAATTATTAGAATATTCGAATGAGGCCTGGGCCTGGGCCTGTAGTAAACAAATTTTGATTTGGCGACAAGTCCAAATCGGAGGCGACGAACGTTTTTTCGGTTCCGTACAACGAGCGTTGAGCGCAAAAAACTGAATGAGCGGCCTCAGCGGCCGAGGCAAGGCGAACAGGCAGCGCGAGCCGGAGCCGAGCCGAGCAGCAACACCAGCCCCGGCCCCAGTCCCAGTGCCAGCAACCGTGGCGAGCTAGTTAGTTAGTTTCGAGCTCGTAGTAGTGAGAGTCGATCGGCAGACACACACACTCTCTTGAATATATATTAGCCCTACGCACACCATTACAAAATCACACAGTATCAAGTTGCTTAGGTCGCTCAAAGCGCCATTTAAGTTGAGTAATTAAAACAAGCGGCACATTTGCATGTGTCTGTATATGCTCACCACACTGATATGTGTGTATGTGTGTGTGTGTGTGTGTGTGTGTGTGTGTGTGTGTCTATGTATGTGTATGCGATTAATTATTAATCAAGCCAAACAAAAAAAATAAAAACAACACCAGCTCAAGAAACAATAACAAACAAGTCAGAGTCAGTCGGACAGCTGAAGACAATTACAATATTTCAACTCTCTCAGTCTCAGTCTCGGTCTCCGTCTCAGTCGCAGTCCCAGTCGCAGTCTCCATCTCAGTCACAGATCTCGGCTCGACTTTCTTTGGTCTCTCTGGCAGAGTTGTTACATATTTAACTTTTCGGCTGCCGTCTCAACTGTTTCGGTTTATTTTTGTCTATGGACGGGCTCTTCAGGAGTGCAGCGTTGCTAATGCAAATCTAAGTTGATTTCAAAATGCTGAGAGACGGAGTTGAGTAGATCGGTTTTTGAGCCGATCGACGTTGGCGCTGCCAGACTGTTTTTGGAGTGATGGATACCTGAGGTGTACTGTTGGTGGATGGGCGCTATTTTGTCTCATAATACCATTGTATTTGGAAAATTATTTATTAAAGATAAATAATTTAAGAAGTGTTACCATTTTAATTAGAACTAATAATGGTTGATGAAATTGGTAAATTGGTGGCAGTATTGGGGAAGTGTAGACAATTCAAGAGCAAAGGTACATAGGTACAATAGGTACATTTATCCACATTAACCATGCGCAACGTTGGCCAAGCACACATTTGCACCTGTCTGGCAGCGCTGGCTAGCCAAATCAATGCAACATTCTGCAACTTGCTGATCTTGTGGCCGTTTGTCCTGTTGTTGTTGCAACGTAATTAAAATATTGCACTTGTTACTTTTCCCAGTTGCTGCCACTCGTGCCCCTTCTCTGGATGCCTCTTTCAGCCTCCCTCTCTCGCTCTTACATTGTTTTTGCTGCTGCAACAACAGAAAAAATAGCAACAACCACAGCAAGGAGAAAAAGCACAACAAGCATGCTGACAACATCGACTCCATCGGTCGCTGTGTCGTGTATTAAAACTTGTTCATTGGAATTTTCTAATAAATCAATAAACGCAGACAACACATGGTAAGTGAAGGGGCCAGGGAGATAGAGGAGAGGCTGCTGCGTTGTCTTGGCACACAGCTGGCGGCATCAGCAGACGGACGGAAAGCCGGGCAGACGGACAGCCGGACGGACATGGGCACGCATCTCGCAGATTGCGCATTTTAAAAATAGCCGACGCATTTTTTTGAGGTTATGGAAAATTTTTGTTGTTACGAGTATTGCTTTTTTTTCCTTTCCAACTCAATCTAGATTGGAGGCTATGCCAGGCGCAGCAGTAACAGCAGCACTGACACTTTCACACAATTGTAATGCTGGGAAATTGTAGTTTGGCGACTAGCAGTTCCGTAAATAAAGCGCATGGGAAGTGATAATTTAACTTTGGCTGGACACAGCAATTAGCTAAATGCTATTAAAGTACTCAAAAATCGATGGGTATTTTACTAGGGTATTTTACTACCTTTGCATTAAGGTAACAATATTGTTATAGTATTCTGCATTGTTCCCAAGGAGCACCTTATTTATCAAAGCTTACTATTACTCTTTACTTTAAAGGTGTATTTTCTAAATCTCCCCATATAGGTCCTTTATATTACACAACTTTGATGCGGTAATAAACGAAATAGAAGAGAAATTGCTCTGGCCGATTTTCTACGATTGTTGGTACGATTGTTACCTTACCAGCAACATTGTTGCCACTAAATTTTCCATGTTCCAGCTTGATATGCAAATAAGTTCTAATAGCTTTCGATTTGGCCCGCTTTACATGCGACGAGTCCGTTCGGCACATTCTAAATGTAAATAAAATGGAAATTCCTTTGAGTGGCACCAACTCCACTGATGCTGGAGTAGCAGAAAAAAAGAGAAAAAACTTGTAGAACAGGAGGAGGAACTTGTTGAGAACTTGGCTGCCTTGTTAAACGAGCCTGCAACACCCAGCAGCAGCAGCAGCAGCAGCAACAGCAACAGCAACAATAAACAATGTTGCAATGCTTAATTATTTCAGCGGCAAGGAATTCCTCGGCGCAAACTTGAACTGCTTCTGGATTGTGGATGCTGCCTTCGTTACAGCTCTAGCCTGTTGCTACCAGCAGCCTCGCTTATTGTGGCCAAGCGTTGAGGCAGAGGCAGCAACTCGATTGCGATGCCAGCCACTTGAGGTCGTCTGCTGGGCTGCAGTCACGTTGGTCAACGGCACCGCAGCGTCTGTGGCCAAGACCCTTCTTGCTGTTGTTTTTATTGCTGCTTCTCTTGCTGCCGTAGTCTGCCGCACCTATTTTTAATGCACTAATGCACTGGTCTCGAGCCAGGAGGCAGCCAACTTAGTGCTCAGAGCCGGGCGAAGAGCAGATTGACATTAAGCTGAGCACTCGGCATATGAACAGATCATTACCCATGAAAAATGGCAAGTGGGAGGGTGAACTTATTATTTCCATCCCCATTCCCGGCCATGCCTAATTGTTTTAATGAACATAAATATGTTTATGGTTCACTGCTGCAAGATCATTATTATAACTCCGTAGTTTATACACCTGTGGAGTTTAAAAAATCAAAAATATATACCTATAGCTCTTAATGAAACCAAAAGAAGAAGATAGTCATTTGTTTATAATTTATTGCGTATGCAAGCTATGGGGAACAGTGTTTGATTCGGCGGATAGCTTGTTTTAATCTGTCCATAGGAAATAATACGAACCAGTATCGATTCCTATCAATTTTATCAATTGATTCATTCCGCATGTGCTACCAACGTCTAACTAATATTGGAGAAGCCTTTTTAACTATAGAGTACTATGTTGCTAGTTCGTTTTCCTTCTGTTTCGTTTTGGGATAACTTTGGATAATTCAGTTACGAAAAACATACGAGTACAAGCTAAAACATTGCTCTCAAATACCAATGTTTTCTTTAATGTTTTTCCCTGCATCTTGATCCCATTGTGAGTTTCATTGTCGGATAGAGTTCGTGGTACTGCAACTCTCAAATTTTTGAACAATCTTATTCCAGCATGTGCTTCAAATTAAGAGATTCCATCTGAAGATCTCTGCTGGATGATTCATGCGTTAGTCAATATGCAAATTGCGATCTTTCTTCTCATTCAGTTTTCTGTATCTTTTGTGCCCCCAGCCTCAACTAAGGCATGCCACAAAGCGCTAATTGAACTTTGCCCAAATTATACTTGCTCGCAGTGAACTTTGCCATTGTCTAGACAAATTAAGAACAGAAGAACGGAATTTATGGATGTCGCTACAGAGTGCGAACATTGTTTAATTGCTCGCTTTGGGGCCACGTGGCGTATGCGCAATGTTCAATGTGATGTATGTATGCTATGCTCTCCGTGTGTGTCTGTGATAAGCGTCGTCAGTTTGTCTGGCAATGATCGGAGGGAGGCAGATGCTGCGGCGGCTGGGGCTTTGGTGTGATGTCATAAGTCAACACTTCTATGGAAGAGTCTATGCTGGGCAACGCGATCGCGATGGCGATCGAATCGGGGATCGTTAATTAAAATTTCCAGCGAGTACTTCATTAGCATCATCGCCAGCATTGGCTCGGTTGCCACGCGTTGCTGGGTATCTCAGCTGCCGCCTTGCCGCGCTCCAATGCTTAATTAATAAATCAACGCGTCACTTGCACTCCATGGCCGTATCTGTTGCTGTCGCAGCCTTAGCCTGCTGCTGCTGCTACTCGATGGGAAGATGGGTACCACACGATACTCTACACTGAGATTAATGCCATGCCATATGCACAACCAGACAAATTGACGCGACATTCCACAGCTGCGACTGCTGCTGCTCCAGCCATGTGGGAGGATGAAGCGGAGTTGATGCTGGTCACTGGCTAATAATAATGTTAAATATAGCAGCTGGTGATGATGATGATGATGATGGCAAGTATGTAAGTGTACTGTAAGTTTCAGAAAACGGAAGCGGAAGTGTTTCTAATCGGCATATGTAGATCTGAGAGTGGGCGGAGCTGCCCGACAAGTAGGCAGCGCTTAATTAATGTTCTCGTAATGTGCAAGTCAAATCGGAGCACAGATGAGGTTGATTGTAGGAGGGTATCAAATATTTACGAAGGAAGTTACGATAATCAATTTTAAAATGTTCTGAGGGGAATTTACCTTAATTAACGATCATAAATAGCTACATCTTTTACGAAATCTATGAAACTATTAAGGCTGGCTGCTATGAAGCTACATACATATATATGTATATGGTGTCTTGTCTGCCATGAGCTACAAGCTATGAATCTTTTAAAGGTGGTTAATATAAAAAAAAAACTAGCTGGTGGTGCTGTAAATAGGAACATTTATATGAGGCAGCTACATTTACACTTAGTAGAATATGTTTACCACCAATGTTCCCACCTGGTACTAAAATGATAATAAGAAAGAGGGAGAGGACGCGGCACAATCCACTAGGGGATAGAAAAAGCTGCGGAAGCCAAGTCCGATCATAAAGGGGTAAAGAAAAACCAAACTATCAAAAAGTCCAACTGATTTTCAAACCCCACATAGGAAGATTGCGAATAAATAATGAATTTCTTACAAATCTAATAACTTTTCCACAAACTTTCAAATCGATGGACCTGTCTTGTACTGTAATTATTGAGTATAAATAAATACAAGTCTTACTGTCTCTGTGCAAAAAGAGCTTTATATATGGGATTATATATTAACGAAGATCTTCTGATATCATCTGACATTCTTTAATGGGTTTATACTTCACAGATCATCTCCGCAATTGACAATAATATCTTGTTTTGCATTCATCATCACAATGAATAATATAGTTTTAAAGGAATCAGAACTTAGTCATCTCCGCTGGCGGTTAATGTCTGTCCAAGCGAGTGCGGTTAATAACAAGCCTAATCGAGAAAAAAATGGAACAAGAGGGACAGGCGAATGTGATTATTTAATAATGGTGGCAAACGCGCGGAAAAATAATAATACTATAGACAGCAGAGCTCCCAGTAAACAATGAAATGCGCTGAAAGATAGAGGGAAACAGTAACAGAAACGAAGCAGAAATAGAAACAAGAAATAAATGCAATTGTAAAAATATGCATTCAAAGTGTTAGTTAGTAAAAATTTCTATATTGCAACTGGGCGCGCGTCGCGTTTTAGTTTTCTAGATGCTAAAAATAAAATAAAGACGAATAAATTAAAATTTTTAATTGCAATTATCGCTGGCTATTGTTGTAGTTGCTGCTGGAGCTGCTGCGACTGTTGCTACTGTTTGCCTTTGGCGTTTCGAACAATTAAGATGATTTATTAGCAGCGCATTTTTATGAGACGCAGTACAAAGGAGAGGAATGGAGCCCGGGTATTACACAAATATATTTATGCTTTATAATAATCATACATACAAATTGATTTATCACATCTGCCTATAGCGGATAATTATAATCAAGACAATTTATGCCGAAAATGTCTAAATGCCTTGCTGATTTCGTAACAAATAACAAAGGAATGACTAAGTGGAAAGCTAATTGCCATTTATGCTGTCACTCCGGAGGGTCTCGTCTCGCAGCATAAATATCTCGAAACTATTTAAATTTGAGTGAATATTAAAAATGTTAATGAAAAAAGTCGTAAAATTTGATAGAAAAAAATTAAAGACGAAAATCGTAAAAACAAATTTAAACGATTATTGCCCGTCTGCAGTTCAAGAGCAGCTCTATTAACGAATTGCCCCACATACATCCCATTCCACTATGGAACGACGAGCAAGTGTAGATCCATTACATTGGTTCCTGTGTGGCCAGTGTGTACGTGGTAGCTGCCATCCGAGAGATTCCTATAGAAGTTGTAGCTGTCGCAGTTGCGCAGGATCTCCGCAAGTTCATCCAGAGTGTGATTGGCCAGAAATGACACAATGACGCTGCTGTCTCCAAAGGCGCCAGCCGCATCTGTGGGTCCGTCAATGCCATCTGTTCCGGCACTTAGGAAGGTGCAATCATGCAGAGTTTCATCGCGATGTAGAGTCTGTGACATCAGCAAGGCCAAGTGCTGACTGCGTCCTCCCACACCTTGACCTGTGACCTAAAACTCATACATAAAATTAATATGAATTCAAATTGGATTTTACAAATCTTTCTACAAACCTTGATAACAGGCTCGCCACCACAAATGAGAAACAACGGCATCTTACTGCTCAAGTGCTGTTCTAACGCCGCCTTGAATCCCTGGAAGCTATCTTCTCCGAAAGCGTAGTTCTCCTTCAGTTTGTCCTCACAGATGCCATGCTGCTTTGCCTCCTGTATGCTCTGCAGCAGACGCTGATAGTCGGCTGCCACTTGGTCCACCTCACCCTGCACAGAACAGCTTAGGACGCAGGGAATGTAGCCAAATTTTGCAGCCTGTTGGGCTGCCGTTGAGGTAGCTATGACATTGCTACCCACTACATAGACTTTGTGGTTGGGCAGCAAAGGGTTATCTCGCTTGTCCGACACCTCAAAGACATTTTGAACTTCCGCAGAGAGCTCTTCCCACACCAGGTGCCTCTTCAGAACCGCAACAGCGGATTCTCCGCTGACTGGTTGAATGGTGGGCCCACAGGCGATCAGCTCCAGGGGATCTCCTATGATATCGCTCAAGACAAAAGTAACCAGCAGTCCCGCATTGCCAGCAAATCCTGCCAAACGGCCTCCCTTGATGTCGGAGCAAGCAATGCGCACCGTGTTGAGCTCCTGGATGCTGGCTCCACGCCTCATCAGCTTGTCTGCTATATTTCGCTTGTCAGCGAGGTTAAGGGGAGCTCTAGGCAACGGCAGCAACGCAGATCCGCCTCCTGACACGAACACAAAGAGCACATCTTGGGGAGTCATCTTCTGGGCCAACTTCTTGATAGCTTCGGCTGCACTCAAGGCCGTTGCATCTGGCAAATTGTTGGGTGCTCCCTCGTAGACGGCTAAACCCTTGCTGATGGGTTGGAAGGTCTCACCAAACAGCTTCAGCGTATTCACAGGCACACTAAGAACGCCGCCGGCAGAGTACTGGCCCAGGTCCATATGAACCTTGCTGGCCATGCCCAGCACGGCCTTGCCGAATCCCACTATGTGACATTTTTTCCCACTAATATCGTGATGTTCACCGTTCAGTTTGATGCAGATTCCGTTCTCAATCCGCTGCGGCCGCAAGTCGAAACTGTGGAAGTCGGCGAATATTTTCTCCGGGTGTACAGCATTCACCGCCTGGGCAAAGACCTGTCGCATGTGCTCCCATGTTTGGCGTTTGGCCATTATGTAAGATGTTATTGTCAGCACTGATTATTATCAGCGATGAATCTAGTTTTACTTATCATTTTTGCAAACAGTTGTTGGGTCGTGGTGCCGGGTGGAATGCACCCCTGCTCGAAGTGTCCCATGTTTGTCGCTTCCCGTTTCTTTGGTTTTTGTATGTTTTTACGTTCCAAACGCTGTTCAAAACACAGGTTTTATTTAATTAAATTAAATTTCTAGTCATTATAAAATATACCGAAATATACACCGTCAATATCAAAATATACCGTAAATATACTGACGGACACGACAAAATGCGTTCATATACCTCGATTTTGATATGCGGTTTTATATTATTAGCTAGCCTAGACCCGCAGCACTGAAAAAATAATGCTATTACATTCAGAAATCAGTTTTCTACAAGATTGGCAAATGATTTCAAAGAAATAAGGGTAATCAAAAAGTAAACAAATATGTAATTTTATCTGACATAAGAACTACACGATAACTACACATTTGCTACACATCAACAACATATGTATTTATGGACAAACGCGTCTTAAAAAATACTGGAAAATAATATTTAAAAAATACTAAAAACTAATAGCTGTCACAAGCTGTTAGCTATGTCACAAGTTCTGTTAAGTTTGATGTTAGTGCTACTAGATGATTTCTTTCTTATCATAGAAATATCAATTGAATTGAATCTGCTGATACTATTTACTTTACGAATTTACTCAAAATCATTTATTTTATGAACAATGCTTTTCATACCCTTGAAGCCGACAGTTATCTGAAAAGATTTCTACAAGGCGAATTTTATCAATAATTTTATTTTTATGATATCGGTCACGAATCAACTACGAGACTCTGCCCGACAAACGTTTGGAAAAGAACGAAATATAATATTTGTGTCATACATATATGAAAGCTCGCAAACGGTCTGTTTACGAGCCTTTTGCGAGACTTTTTTTATATTTCCAGTCACATCTGCAGAAGCTGAAAGATCTGTTAACAAATTAAAAATAATAAAAAACTATTTTAAAAACACTATGGGACACTATCGACTCCGTAATTTATTGCTTAAAGCAACTGAAAAATAAAGAAGCATAAACTTTAGATTTGAGCGAATCATTGATTCTTTTGTGAAAAGTAAGGAAAAGAAATATTGTTTAACTAACTCATAAATATTTCGATTTACTTCAGTTATTGTAAAATTTTCAGGCCATGCCCAATTGTAAATTGTCTTCCTAATTAACTTTCCATCTTTGCGAAACATCCTTGCTTAATTATTATATGCAAATTATTTCAAAAGCTGGATCTTAGCTCGTGGATAGATCATACCAACAAGACAATTTTTTTATTCTATTTTCAAATGGAAGCGTCTCACGATACACATGAGCTCCGACTACTTTCGTTCTTATTTGACACCAATTTGGGTAGTTGGGTCGGCACACGCCTGCTGTCGTCGTTGGTGGTTGGAGTGGCTTTGGCACCTGTGTGGGTGCTTGTATATGCCGCCGCCGGAATCAATTGGCTCTTGCCAGATCGCGGCCTTAGATAACCGCCAGACCTTAAAAAGCAGCAACTTTCAATGGCCGGAACACAGTCTGTCTTAGAAATTTTGCCGCAATGCAGCTTATGTCGTGGCTCTCCCTGCTGGGTAAGTAAAGGAATCGGGCGATCGGATGAGCCACCATTCATTGGAATTCCTTAAACAGCATTCGCCTGGCTGGTGACAGGCAATCCTCTGCTCGGACTGTTCGACCCGGCATGCTTTGTGATGCGTGGAGAGTGTCCCAATAAAAATGTTACCTTTTGGCTTTACTCCAAGTAAGTGGCTGTCACTGACTCTGCTTCTGCACTCACTCAGAGATTTATACTTCAGCTCCACTCGGAATAACCCCATCCAACTGGATCCTCTCAATCTCAATCCCTGGGATTTTCAGCCCCCGCGCCCTCTTAAGATACTCATCCATGGATACACGGGCTATCGGGACTTTGCCCCGAATACCTTCATTCGGCCAGTGCTGCTCGACCACGAAGATGTCTATGTGATCTCCATTGACTATGGACCCTTGGTGCGCTATCCCTGCTATGTCCAGGCGGTGCAAAACGTTCCCCTAGTGAGCAAATGTCTGGCGCAGCTCATCAACAACCTGGTGGACCGGAGCATAGTTCAGAATGAGATGATCCACCTGATTGGCTTCAGTCTTGGCGGCCAGGTGGCGGGTCAGACCACAAATCATCTGAAGCGAAAATTGAAGCGGATTACGGGACTGGACCCGGCCAAGCCACTGTTTATCCTTGGCAGTGATGCGCGACGCTTAGATGCTGGCGACGCAGAGTTCGTGGATGTAATCCACTCGGATGTTCTGGGTCGAGGAATGCTCCGTTCAATGGGCCATGTGGACTTCTACCCCAACTTCGGACCACAGCAGCCGGGCTGCATGGAGGAGAACCCCAACGATCCCGGGAGCTGCAATCACGAGAGGGCTCCCCGCTTTTATGCCGAATCCATTAACTCCACCGTAGGCTTCTGGGGTCGCCAGTGCTCCAGTTGGTTGGTCCACCTCATCGGACTCTGCTCTACCCGCGCCCCCCAGGCCCTGATGGGCTACCACGTCGCGGATGACGTGAAGGGATCTTTCTTCCTTAAGACAGCCAACGATACGCCCTATGCACTGGGAAAAATGGAGGACGTGGACAACAGCAGACACCTGGCCAAGTTTCGGCTGAGTCCCGAGTCCAATGAACTCGAGCATGACTTTGAGCCACAGCTTTTGGAGGCCTTCCTCGAGTTGGAGGATCCCGAGAAACATCTGAAGACAGATGTGGATGATCTAGAGAAACAACTGGTCTGGATGGATCAAGCAGAAGACGAACCTTTGTCATAGAGTTATTTGTGATTACTTAAGTTAGCTCCAATAATGTTTAATATAAGTTATTTAAAACAATTGGTAGAAACCTACGAGTATAGCAGTTTCTTTTTCTATTTTCTGAACTTGTGGATAGCTAGGCAGGTATATTCTCAATGTATTTCGTTAATCTAACACGTTCTTCGAATTTCAATGTCAGCTTCTAATGCCCGCACAAAGCTCCAACCAAACCGAATCCAGCCTAGCACCAGCTCCGACCTTAGCCTACTGGCTAACCCTAACCCTCTCTGGAAACCTTGACTCTTTTATCAGCGTACCTGCACATTATATGGGCCCTCATTTCCCATGCAATTTTCAATGTTAAGCTTGGCAAATTTAATAGAATTTGCGTTAGAACAAAGTCGTAGAGCAGTTTAGACACTTGCAATGAGCGAATATCGATGGAATGGGAGCCACCTCCTGCTGGTATTTCTACTCTTTGGATACACTAGAGCAGAGATGGAGCTGCGTGGCCTATTGCCCGAACTTTGCATCTTTGCGGAGAACAAGTGCCCAAATCCTCGCGTTACCTTTTGGCTCTACACAAAGTGAGTTGCGATTTCTTATTGGAGGAATCATACTCAACGCAGACCGTTCTCAGCTACACTCGTGATCGACCCGTGGAAGTAGATCCTCTCGATCCGCAGGTGGAACTCTTTAGGCCCAGCCTACCTCTAAAAATACTCATACACGGATTCATCGGCAGTCGGAATCTGACTCCCAATCTAGAGGTGCGTGATGTCCTGCTCCGAACCCAGCCCGTAAATGTGATTTCGGTGGAGTATGGGAGTCTGGTTCGTATGCCCTGCTACTTTCCCTGGGCTGTTACCAATGCTCCCATTGTGTCCGAGTGCCTGGCTCAGTTAATTGGCAATCTCTTGACGGCTGGCATCTGCAAGCGGGAGGACATACACTTGATTGGTTTCAGTCTGGGGGCTCAGGTGGCAGGATTGGTTGCCAACTATGTAGATGAGCCCCTGGCTAGGATCACTGGCCTGGACCCCGCTGGACCTGGCTTCATGATGCAGTCCTCACTGCGGCAGAAGCTGGATCGCAGCGACGCTGACTTTGTGGACATCATTCACACCGATCCCTTCTTCTTCTCCATGCTGCCTCCGATGGGGCATGCTGACTTCTACCCCAACCTGGATCAGCTGAACCAGCGGGGCTGCAGCTACGTGAGCTTCTGGCGCTTCTACAACTGCAATCACTATCGTGCGGCCGTCTACTACGCGGAGTCCCTCACCACCAGCAGGGGGTTTTGGGCCCAGCAGTGCGGCGGGTGGTTCGACTTCTTCTCCCAGCGCTGCAACCAGTACTCGGGCATGCCCAACAGCCAGATGGGATACTTTGTCTCGGAGAAGTATGTGGATAACTTCTTCAATATTTTACCCTTTTAATTTTCTCTTATCTCGGGGTTTCATTTCTATCAGATCTATCGGATCGTATTTCCTCACAACCCATGAGGTTTCCCCCTTTGCTAAGGGTCCGCTGGTGGATGTGGAAATGGATGTGGCAGAGCTTCACAGTTCACTTTCACAGCTTGCAATAAAAAAGCGTTAAAAATACCAGAAAAAAAGCTTTCATTCAAGAGCGAGCTTCGGCCAACTTATTTTGGGGAAAGCTCCAAGACAAAAGACTGAAGACGCGAACTCAAGCTGCAATCGCTCGAGAGAGCTCCAACCGAGCGCACACGCACGGATTCCGCGAAACCCTACCCACATAATATTCCCATCGCTTTTGAAACACCCGCGCGTGCCCGCAAAAAATATAAAAGAAGTGAAGAAAAAATTGAATTAGTTTTTGCTGGGGCAGCCGGAATAATGCCCCGCCAGCTTGGTCGTCTCGTTGTGCACTGAAATCGAAATCGAGTCCAATGACCAGCTCTCAAGCTGGTGCCTATGAAAGAGTGTACACCTTTGGTTAGCTAAGAAAACACACTGCAGACCTTGACCCATGGCCTGTAAAGAGCTGCATCGCGGCTTAGTTCGGTTATATAATCAAATTCCAGTTTCAAGTAACCCAAACGCAAAGTGAATAATTAAGAGTTTGCAAAAAAAAAACAACAAGAAACAACAAGCCACAAAAATGCAGTTCAACTTTTTGATGAAACCAAGAGCATTTTTGGGTTCATCTGGTTTGCTGCAGTTCGTCTTCCTGATTAGTGCTACATTCGCCCGTTTGGAGTTCGCCGGTTCGTATGTGCTAAAAAGAAACTGAAATGAAACTGAAACTGAAAGAAAAAATACCCAAAAGAGAGAGACATTTACGTTAAACTTTTACTTTCGCCCTGATGCTGGTTGGAACCTATATTTTTTGGCCATGCCTGAATTGGTTTGTGCCTGGCCTTTCTTTTGGGCCTGTCATTGTAGATTTGTTGGCCGTTGGCGGTTAGCTGCTGTGGCGGCTGTGTCTGCTCTGGCTGTGGCTGTTGACACTTCAAATTTGCGTCAACTGCCTAAACAGACGGCATAAATTTCATTTTTAAATACGAGTAGTTGCACAATACTTATGCGTTTCTTTTGGTTTTCTCTGGAGTCATCCCCTGTTGACCTTGCTTCATATATTGTTTATATAAAAGCATAAATATTTTCAAAGCTCTTTTTATAAGCACTTGTAATGTTGTTGCTCTGACAACTACTTGAAAGTTTTTATTGTCTTTGCCAGCCATTGATATTGGCCACGCATATTTTGACATGGTTCATTCCGCATACAAATGCTGTCTCTGCCTTTGGTTTATCACGGCTTTATTACGGCTTGACTCTGGGCATCTCTTGCCTCTCGCTAGACAATTTCATTAATTGTGATGGCTATCGCTTATGCTGAATGCTCTGGAATTTCTCATAATTCGTGGCTTTAATTTATATTCATATTTATGAATACTCTGTATTTGTGCACTGCACCTTGACACTCTTCGGGGCTGTTTGTTTCTGTTTCACTGCTGTTGCAATATTTACTACTCAACCAAGTTATATTGCTGCTGATGAAGGTGTCATCGCTGTACATTCCCAGCCCTGGCAGTCAAGGGTCTCGCTGGGGCCGACTAATGGGGGGTATGCGCATTGCCGGAGTGCGTGTTATTGCCGAACTGTGACGTGGAGCCATGGCCAGGGGGCAGAGGGATGAAGGATTTTAGGCAGGTTAATGCTGGGGCAATAATTAGTCAAGATTGCAGGTTAATGAACACACTAGCCATAATTATAAAGTAGGTCAAAGATGTCAAAGTATAATTCAAAGATAGCCAATTTTTCAAGAATTTGACTAGCCTGATTGATTTCTGAAACATAATTATTGCTCAGTATGTGCAACCAATTTAAAGTCTTAAGGTTATGACACACAAATCCGAATATCAGTTTCGATTTCAAGCCAACTGGCCAACAAAAACACTCAAAGCCAAACAATACATATGACTCATGGTACAAGCAAAGTATAAAAAAACCTATCAGCAAACCAGTGAAAAGAGAGAGAAACCCAGAGACGAGCCCCAAACCAAACAAAAATCATCTTTCACTTAGCGGACGATGAGGAGTTCGTGTTTGGGTTTTCGTCTTCCGCCTTTGGAGCCGGCTTCCGTTTTGGCATTGCTTTGATTTGTGTTAGTTGGGCACCCCCGACCACAATCCCAACCCAATTGCAATACAACTTCCATGATTTTCACACGAGTTTTCTCCAAACAATGGATATACAAAAAACCCAAAAAAGTCATTTAATTGCAATGCGTAATTTTAAAATGGAAAAAGGACAGAAATGGTTAGGATGGGGGAAGAAAACGCAGTGAAGTGGCTTTTTGGCTTACATAACACGGTCAAAGCAGCTCACGAAGCTGCAGATGGGCGATTGTGAAAAGCAAATGAAAACAGAGAAGTTGAAGACAATTGAGGCATGACCACGACCGCAGTACCGACCATTGCTAATTGAAATGGGGTGGATTTCGGAGGTGGGCGGTTGAGTGGATTTATGCTGAGGCCTCTGATGTAAACCCACCGCCTATTGCATGCTAAATTCATCTATCCGGCTGTTTGTCAGCCATGCACAAAAACATGTCATCGAAAATGAAATCGAAGTGAAATGGTAACAACAACTCGCCGGCTCACTCACTGTGTCTATGGGGTATGTGCCCTATATGGCAGCAATGATATGTTCGGGTCTTTCCAGTGCTCAGCCAAGCAGCAAGACTCTGCATCTGTAACAGTCTAAAAGACCGGTTGCATGGCCTGGCTCTACCTCTTGGTTATCTGCTTATGTACGGGTACTGGTACTCGAACCACAAGTGTGCCAATTGCCATTGCCTGCCGCCCACTGAGCCAGCGGCGCCAGCTGCTGAAGGTCGATTCTCCAACAATTTCGTTAGATTTTTAATGTGGCCATTTGAATGCAATGCACATTGCTGGGCCTTCTTACGCATGCCGTGAGCTGAGGTGGAGGCTCACACTCAGGTGCTCCACATGGGAACTAGTTCGGGGCTTAGAGTTCATTCGAAATCATATTTGAGTTAAGCTAAATATTTACCTGAACATGGGATTAAAATAACTTATTGTGTTAATAATTTTGCAATGTTATATACATATGTATATAAATTGCTTATTCTTATTGGGACGCTTTCTACTCAGTAATAAGGCATTTTGATTGAAAAAATCATTTGTACTATATATAGTAACTTCATTTAATTGGGTATGCTATATAGAAAGCGTACATATACTCGTACTTCATTAGAACTATTACATTAAAATGTACCTGCGTACATGATATGTATAATCTTGATTCGCAATATATGTATGGAAAGATTGCGAACCATAAAGCGCACATCTGTCCGCCGACAATGTCTCCCACTACCAGATAAGCCCACCTGGAATGGGTTTTCCTTATGACCCGCCATGAATCAGCCGCATAAATTGCGCATATTCATTCCGTATCCCGTCGGCAGCTCCAGTTATATCATGGGCAGCACGTTTTTTCAAAAATAAACCCAGCAAACGCAAACAGCAAACGCAAACAAAGAGCAACAGGCATCAGGCAATGGCATCGTCACTTCCGTTTTTGTCCAACTGGCTGACTAGGCTGACTTGGCTGACTTTTACTTTCTGCTGTCAGCCCGCGCAGCAGTTGTATGGCATGCATTGCTCGTGCCACTGCAACTCAAACTGCAACTGCAGCAGAAACGCAATCGCATGACATTTGCAGCGTGCCAAATTGCAAACATTCAATGTCGCAGCCAGCGGCTTATGTAATTAAGTGTAATACCAAAGCTAGCTGAAACGAACAGTGAAACCCGTTTACCAACATCCACATCAGATTCAACTTCAACTTCAACTTTATTTCTCCCATCTCATATCCTCACAGCTACTCAAAATGCTGGCGTTGTGGCCGCGGCGGTGGCGGCGGGACAAAACCAAACCCAAGTCTATGTGACGGAATCCTGCCTGCAGAAGCCGTACCGCTGTCCGCATCCGAAAATTAAATTCTATCTGTACACGCGCCGCACCCAGGAGCAGCCGGAGTTTATCGATGTGCTCGATGCCAACGCCCTTTACTACACTCACTTCAATCCCCGGCACCCTACGAAGATAATCATTCACGGCTTCGGAGGAGGTCGTGACCTGAGTCCCAGTCCTGACTTGCGGGAGGCCTACTTCAGCGTGGGCGACTACAACATCATCATCGTGGACTATGCCGACGCGGTGAAGGAGCCCTGCCTCAGCCAGATGGACTGGGCGCCCCGCTTCGGCAGCCTCTGCATCTCCCAGTTGGTCAAGTACCTCGCCCGACATCCGCGCGGGGTCCAGCCAGATGACCTCCACTTCATCGGTTATAGCGTGGGTGCCCATATAGCTGGCCTGGTGGCCAACTATCTGAAGCCCGAGGAGGGAAAGTTAGGACGCATCACTGCCCTGGATCCAACGATATTCTTCTACGCAGGGGCCAACAACTCCAGGGATCTGGATACGACCGATGCCAACTTTGTGGATGTTGTGCACACTGGAGCGGGGATACTCGGTCAATGGCATTCCAGTGGACACGCGGACTTCTATGTGAATGGCGGCACCAGGCAGCCGGCCTGTGTAGGCTCTGCCACACTGTTTCGTGAGTACTTCCCATACACTTTCCATTACGGATTTACATATGCCCGTATCGAATCGAATCTCAGCTTGATATTTGTCCCAATATGGCGATATCAAAGACTAATGGTTCATCCGTACTTTCCTCACATTCAATTCTGTTTCATTGGTTTTCCAGAAACCTTGGCCTGCGACCACACCAAAGTCACTCCCTATTTTATAGAGTCTATAACATCGACTCTTGGCTTCTATGCGGGTCCCTGCCCCAACTTGTTTACCTACCTGATAGGCTGGTGCGAGCCCAAGGATTCCGATTACGTCCTAATGGGCGAGCACTGCTCACATAAGTGAGTACTGAGCCATGCCACCCTAAGTATCTTTCTAGTAATTGTATTATTACTTTTCAGAGCCCGAGGAAATTACTATGTTACCACCAATGCAAAAGCGCCCTTTGCTCGTGGGTTCCCCGGCAAGGGGCGTTCCAATGGCGAGTACCAGGGAGTACGGCGATAATGAAAATCCTTAATTTTCATTTGTTTCGTTGCCTTTTGCTCTGCATAGTGATGGAAGAATGCAGACGAATTCAAAGCGGTTCAAAATAAACTTTAATAGCTTGGAAACAAAATCAATTTAACCTTATTTGTATTCCATTTCGAACCAACATCGAACCTATTTTGATCCCGCCTGCATTCTTCCATATTTTACACCGTAGCACTCATGTGATTATAGTTTGTTTCCTAATTATATGAACCATATTTATTTTATATATTTTTGTTGTTAGCCTTAGTCACCGCCATGTTTGCTGGGAGTTGGGAGAGAAGCGACATCCCATCCCAAATGTTTCGGGTTCTGTACAAATCAATAAAACTAATCATTAAGTCGTAGGCTAAAAGTCGTTTGAAATAAAAACAAAATACACTCAACCTTTGTTGGCATAATTCTTAACAAGTTCATTTTATTGAGTTCCAAATACATTTTTGTTAAGTTATAATTTAGTTTTGAATTCGTTTAGACGTTTAAATATGGTAATTCGTATAGCCAGGTGTCATGCAGGGGTCTTTCTCTTTCACAGTGTCATAACTTTTTTAATTTTAAATAAATTTGAGTAACATTTTTGGTAAATTATTTTTTGAAGCTGGATGTTAAATGAAAATCTTTTTTATTGTGCTTGAGTCTTTTCTAATCTTTTTAGTTACATTTTATGAATATTGTTTAAGTGTTTTCCTTCTGTTATGAGCATACATTTAAATATATATGTACGTATATAAGTATATATGTATGTATGTTATTAACTTGGTTTATCGACCATACAAATTATACAACATGGGCGGGTGTTGCCAGAAAAGGGATCTCCATTCGTTTTTTAAATATTTGATTTTGATTTAATTTTTTAGCAATTTGTATACCGAACGCTTAATAAACATAAAGAATACATTGTTTTTTTATATATACACAGTTCCAGTGTTCATAGGCCATCGCCATCCAAACGGTTGAGAAAGTTAATACTTTCAAATTGTTTAACGTGAAACTTTTTGTTGAAGTAATGTGACCTCCTTTTTACATTTATATTGTAGTATGGATATTTTATATGATTAATACTCAAATATACCTGGTTTGCAAATATACATGTGGTACTTGCCGGCCTATATTTTTTCCCTTCCGATGAAACTGTATGGTTTATTTATATGGCTGCTTAGCGTATCTTAGGTCTGCTTTCACATACAACATTAATGTTCGGCTAGGAGTTAAAATACCCTATAAGTACGTAGCCGGTTCTGGCCTGCTGTAGCTATAGTTATCATTCATAGTTTACCATTATTATATTTAGTTGCGCTCGTTCTTTTTTGCATTATATGGGTATTATGATTTTTTGTTTCTTAATTTGGCATTATATACACTTAGATATATGACTCACTGAAGCATTTATTAGCTAATTTGTTGCATATGTATTTATATACGTTAGATTATATACAAACGGTCATTTCAAATGATGCGATTAAGTGCTTTCATATGTGGCTTTCCGGCTAACATATTTTGTTTATTATTATTGTCCACACAGCCCCGAGAGCTTGAGTATCTCTCAAACAGAAAAAGAGAAAGAACTCAATGCGATTAGATGAGCACATGACAGGTGAGAGCCTCGTAAGTGTTCATCTCTCCTGTGACAGACTCGATTTTAGAAGACACACATACGGATTTAAGATATCTACGCTAGTATATATACTTCCAGTTGCATTTCTCTATGCTTTTATGTACATAATGGGTTTGCAATTACTCTAATATTACACATATGCCCAAGTGGCCAACATTTTGAGAAGCATTCAAAATTTGTGCCCAAATCTAAACAGAAGAAAACTAAACATAAGTTAATTTTAAATAAGAGCTAATGGACTATACACTAAGCTTACTTCACTAGGTATTGTCACTTTCACAAGCAGTTTTGGTTGTTATTTTCATTGATCAAACATGAAGTTTTTCCCCATGTTAGATTTAAAAATTCCATAATTACATACTAATTATATATTTTAAATTTGTTTGATTATATACTTTTATATATATTCGCTGCGCTGTACAAATTACGGTATAAGAATTGACTCTTTTAGTTAGAAAATTTTCACATATTTATTACATAGTGTTTTAATTGTGAATAAATTGATTAAATTACATTTAAATATATATATATATATCCATTAATTCTTATTATTCCTAGGTAAATTTGTTATTAAAGTATTGCACAAACAATTAGATAGTAGGTAGTGTTTAAATATTAAAAGAATAATTAGTAGGTTATCGAAAATATGATTGCATCTAAATCAAGTTTCAGAACAACAGAATAGTAATAATGGTGCGTTAAATAACGAAATGAAATACTTTTAAACAGTGCTATTTGTAATATAAATTTGTGCGTTAAAATTTAATTGTGCATTAGTTAATAGCTAAAATAAAATTTAAAGCCAAACAAAAGGAAATATAATTAAATGGTGCATTATTAAAGTTAATAGTAAACTAAATTTTTTGGATAATTTTACTATAATAATACATATTTACAAAAAAAAAAAAATGGTGTAAATGTTTGTAATTTGTATATGATAATACATAGAGAATGATTTATTTATTTATTTCGACTTTATTTGGACTTAACTTTCAGAAAAAATGTGAAAGCTTATACAGATAATTAAAAAAAAAACCTATTTATTGAGAATATTTTCCTGAGAATAAAGCCCAAATAAATTCTTAAATTTTTAATAGTTGTTACATTAGTGCCGATTTCTTCACGCCAAAAAAGAGTCCATCATTTATAAATAGCTATGTTGTTTATTTCTGCAGCTATTTTTCATGTATTTTCACGAATAGTCAATGGGTACTCCCCTCCTTGTGCAAAAATAAAATAATTTAAATTTATATAAAATGTATTCTCATATTAAAAAAAAATATTTGCATCTATATAAAAATTATCCAAGTACGTAAAACAGTTTTTAAAATTGTAAGAAATTTCAAGAGAAATGTTAACAAAAGCAGATAGGAAAGATTTGAAGCCAAACAATTTTTTCGCATTATGTCTAATCTTTTACATTGTGACAATTTTATAATGAAATAATAAGAAACATCTTTTTTTTTTATTTGGACGTCCTTAGCGTCCTTAGTCTGTATTAGTGTGTGACGAGTATATGAAGACCAAGTCTGAGGTTATATGCGCCTACTGCTATCTACTTATATGGCTAAAATATATATTTTAGTACCTACATCGTGCCTTGCTCGTGTTGTTCATATACAAAAGCATATACATATGTATATAAGATAAACAAACAATGATCATAACCATATGTGAATATTGGATTAGTTAGTATGAACTTTTATGGCTATCATTCATGCCGAACATCAACAATTGCTTAGTTTTTTAAGATTAAAATTTTTCCATGCCTAGATACTGTCACCCTGTGGGGCGGATCTTTGCACAGATATAATATCTTCAACGGTAATAAAACTTGCAGTTTTCATATTTGCATAGTTAACAACAATTTGTAGCTATAATTATGTGTGCTAATAATGTCAATGATCTATACATATACATGTAAATATATATACATATATACCTATATACCTACATATATATATATATACATACATACATAAGATATCAGTTTATATATATTAATATTCTTTGAGACGTGCTGCATGTCTGGATTATGTAGTTTATGATATACACAAATGTTAAATATGCCTTCTTGTCCCTCTATTTCTCGTTTGCTTTGTATTTTTGGTTGGAGCTTGTAAATAGAAATTCGCGGAAGCGATGGTGTCTTAAGACTTATATGTAGATCGAATGTGCCTTTCAGTGTCTATGTGTTACGGTATTGCTATGTATGCATATGTAGTTTCTCTGTTAGGTACATAGTTTCATTGTGTTAGTGTGGCTTGTGGCTTGTGGCATTCCTTGCTGAAAATTCGTTTGAACATTTTTACTTTATAGTGTTTTACTCAGCTGTAGGATCTCGATATTAATAACTACATATGTGACTAGCGACCCCAGTTCTTCGAATAAAACCCAACATATAGAGTGATAGAATAACTTTAACGACACACCAAGAACAAACGATAAACGTTAAACAATTTCCAACTACAACTAAAAGCTATGATATATATCAGTGACTAATGTGATTCCTTTATTGCTGCTGGTATGACTGCGGGTCGTAGGGCGGTTGTCCTATCTGTCCCGGCTGTCCTATCTGCCCCGGCTGGGGTTGTCCTTGCGTGTAGTCGTAGTTGTAGGCCACGTCTTCGTACGGCGGCGGGGCAGGTTGCTCGGCAATGGGTGCACTGGCGGCCATGGCAAATGGATTGTTGGCCACGTGCCCGGTGGCGCCATAGCTAATGGAACTTGATTGCTGCATTTGGCTCTGCTCATTGTACTCCGGTGCACCCTACAAGGAAGAGGTAAGAACGAAAGCAGTCGAGGTTAGAGATCACTCAAGCCCTGCCATGCATGTGACTTACGAATGAGGTCTCCTTCATGTAGTTGCCCAGCATGCCTGCCTGGCTGGGATCTGTGTTGGTGATGGCTCCCGCCGGTGGGGCCCAGACCTGCTGCTCCTCGGCCGGCGGCTCGGCCCAGGGCTGCAGCTCTCCAGAGGCGAAGATGCCGTAGAAAGTGCAGCCAACCAGATGAACACAGGCGGCCAGGGTGAACACAGTGGTCCAGCAGCCAGTGGGCTGAGTATATCAAAGCAAGGATTTTCAGTTATGTAACCTGGATTAAATACATTTGAAAGCGTGCTACTTACATTGGCCTGTATAAGCCCATCCAATGCGTATGGCACTATGATCCCTGCCAGCGTGCCAATGCCATTCGAGAGACCCATTAAAATACTCGCATAGCGTGGAGCAATATCCAAGTGGTTGACATTATAGCCAGATATGGCAAACCCACTGAAGGCCACGCCACAAGTCAAGGCAAACATTGCTCCAGTCTGAAATCAATATTTTAGCACTCACCCAGTAAAGCTAAAGCCCTTCTTACTCACCGATGTTGAGGAATGTGCCACGAATAGAAAGAACAGACCCTCCATCCCAAACCCACCGCAGTTGAACAGCTTTCTTACATTCGTGGTGGACAGGATTCCATTCTTTCGCAGATGATCCGCCAGCATACCACCGAATGGCACAATCGTGGTCATAATCAGATGAGGCAGGGATCCCACAAAGCCAGCCTCCTCCACCTTAAAGCCGAACTTGTGCTTGAGGAACGAGGATTGGAACAATACCAGCAGGTAGAAGTTCCAGGATCGACAGAAGTTCGCCACTATGATGGCATAGACAGGCATCGACCGCATAATTTCCCGCCAGGGCGTCGTCTTCAGCGATGGCATCGTCGGATGAAGCGACTCTCCCAGCGACTTTTCGATGTACTTCAGCTCGGGAATGCTGATGGCCGGATGTTTTCGCGGGTTCTCAAAGCATAGCCATATCCAGAACATATACCAAATTATCCCAAACACCCCGTAGGCATAGAACGGCGCCTGATAGCCCACGGTATCGGCCAGCAGCCCAGACAGGGGCAACCCCACCACGACGCCAGCATAGGATCCTGAAAAGGCTAGGGTAGCCAGACGGGAGCGTTCCATGGGTGGCGCCCAGAAGCGCCAGATGCCGTGACAGGCCGGATACGTTACACCCTATGAAATTTAAGTGGAAATAAAGTTACATAAAAGATGGAAAGTCAAATTTAGTTTAGTGATGGTAGTCCATGGAAATATTTGTGACGATATCTGAAAGACTAACCAAAAACAGGCTTGATACGACTTGTCTTAAAATTGTTATCTTTCAATTTCAATTGTATTTCAGTGCTTGCATCTTGTATTTGTTTCGCTTGGTTTTTTGTATCCAATAAAATCGAATTGTTTTGGAATTAATTAAAGGATTACTTTTTTCGACACTATATTCTGGTATTAATTTAAAAGGCTTCCAAAGCTTTCGGCTCTTTTATTAAAGGAACACCATTTTTAAGATAGTTCGTTGTACAGCTTTTGAGCTCACGCTGCTACCTTAAAGTGAAATGACAAAAGCCTTTTTTCCCGTTCGTATCGCCAAAAATCTTTCCATAGTCACATCTCTAATTGAGAGAGCAGAAAGAAAAATGATAGACTTGGGCGTATACATAAAGAAATCGCATTAAAATAAATGCTTTTGTTATTTTCCCTTCCTTCTACCCATATCCTCTTTTGAGGGCTTAGGACATGTTTTCATTTCACATATTTGCTTTAACGGAAAGCAAAATCTCACCCCATCCCGGGACCAATCCCTCCCTTTTGGCAACGTCACGCAATCGTAATCCTTGGCTTTGATCTGTGGCAAAATCGAATCTGGTTACTTACCTCGAAGAGTCCTTGTAGCACGCGCACACCAATCACCACGTGGCCGTGCATCAGCGTCATAGCAAAGGGCACGAACAGATGCAGCGTTGCCGAGCTGACGATGGAGAGGCCGAATATCTTGTTGGCCGGAAACTTGGATGCAATGAAGCCGCCGGGAATCTGCGTCACCAGATAGCCCCAGAAGAAGGACGAGTCCACATGGCTCTCCACAGCAACCGTCCAGTTCATGAAAACCGTCTGCAATATCACAATAAATACAAAATATAAACCATGAGTGGAAAAGCAGTATTCATTAAAAATTGCCCTGGGCCATTATTAACGAGCGTCGAGCCGGATGTCATACAGGGCACACAAACTTGGCGTTTCTCCCTATATGTTTGTGGGGGCGTGACGTTTTGTGTATGACTTTTGAGTGATACCCATTCACACCCTAATCGACAGCAGCTTTTTGCTAAATGAAGCAAATTTTCGTCTCATTCCAATAAATTTATTGTTTTGCTTCTTTTATGTTTAAAATTTCATTTGAAAATTTTTGAAAGCAGTATTTTGTAGCAAAAAAAAATTACCCTAAACAACAAAAGTTGATTTTATTCATTGCATCAAAATTTAAATTTGCCCAAAAGGTAAACTTAAGCTTTAAGGTTTTTAAAACCGACTGACAAAGTTCTTCAAAACTAGCTGTAGAATACTACAAAAAAAACGTAACCATTTTTGTATGTAGTTAGAGCCAGAGGGAGTGTTGTGTGTTGCTGCAGTGGCCGCGACTCTACTTTGTGGAGGCGGAAGGGGACGAGCCGAAGTTTTTAAATACACTTGCAGTGTGATATCAAATGAGTCTAAAAACTGAAAATTTGGTTGATCTAGCACATATAGTGTCCGAGAAAAAGGCGCTCATCAAGATGGACAGACCAACATTGCTATATCGACTCGGCTATTGATGCTGATCAAGAATATATGTATATATATATCTTTTTGGGATCGGAAATTATTCTTCTGTGCGTTACACACATCCACTTCGACCACAAATCTAATGTATTACTAAACTCTTCGAGTACCGGATATAAAAATTTTGGAGGCTTCTTCTTTTCGCTGTTAACCAGTGAAGTCATTTATTGATTGCAAGTATCAAATGTGATCTAAGGATAAGTTTTCATATATTAACATAATATATACCACAACAAAAAAGAATTGATGTCAATTCTTAAGATTCATGATCTTGATATTTCTTCACACAATTTTTACATTCTAGGCAAGTAAACACATATAATTTCATCAAAGCTCAACTCAAAGACAAACTTGTGTCCCGCAATTCGAGAAGTGAGATGCGAAGCTTAGAAGTATCTTCGAAACGTCCTAAACATTACAGGTCTTTGGCAAAAACAACTATTTGAAGCAGTTTTGCACTCCCACATCCAGCTGTTTCTTTGAGCGCACAAAAATACTTTAGTCTGCGTGCCCAAGAGTGATTTCAATGAATATAAAAGTATAACCATCATTCAAATATTAACAGCGTTACTTACCCCGTTGTGCTCGCCCTTTAACTTGGCAGCCGACATATTGCAGCGCATTCCGAAGGCGATCATGAAACCCACGCATGCCATGGTGGCAATGGTGTAGCGGGCTGGCATGCATGGGCACTCGGCCTTGCAGTACTTGTCGATCTTCCGGAGCGGCGGACGCTCTATCTCCTCGAAGGAGGCGGGCGAGTCGGGTCGGTCGTCATCGTCGTCGTAGGCGTGGCCGCCGCCGGGTCCGTGGCCCTCGCGCTCGCCGCCCTCCATCTCCTCGTAGCCGCCATGCCCGGTGTGGTAGCTCTGAGATATTTCGAACTTCTCCATATTCGGCTTGAGGCTGGAAGAGTAAAAGGGCGTGTGGAAAGATGGTCATAATTCATGCCAATTAGAACAGAAACAGGCCATATCAACAGGTCAAGAAGAGGGTGTGAAAACACAAATATTCTCTGCTTGTTAGGGCAGCATCTGCCACCCTCCCCGATCAAGGTGGTTGTTCTGCGTGTTGGTCCCCAAGGAATTTCTTTGACTGTGGAAAGGAATTACCAGAGGGAGGCAGTTCCCTCAGCTTGAAATAAATTCAATTTTATTAAGTGGCGATAGCAGGGCTGCGGACTAAAGTATTTAAAGTTGATTCGACCAGGTGAAAATCTGAAATCGTATTTTCCGATTTGATTTCTCTACCGAGACCTTTTGTCGGTCGAACACAGTTTAAACACTGTGCCAGACCTTGTCGCTCACTGATTGATGGCAGTTGTTAGATGATATCGTGGTGGTCTACCCTACCCACCCATTAACCCTGGTTAAGTGACACATCCACAATGCTAACCTCTGGATCTCCCCCTCTCCATGGCCATTTTTATCCATAGATATACAGACAAACTCCCGAGAAGTATGCTTTACAAACTAATAAGCAGCCACCAGCCAAAAACAAGCCACTACAGCTACAGTGGATAACTTTCTCGTAGTCGCCGACTGTCACATAACTCAACTGTCTGCCGCTAAAGCTACCCTCGTCTGGTCACGCAGGACCGGGAAGTCCGCCCCACGAAGAGGCCGATAAGTCCTTCCACCGTCTTGTGCATTGACCGACTTTAAGGACGCCTCGTCTGACGCCAATTTTATGCGGCAATTTTTATCTGCCCTTCGAAAGGGAGAGCGCTGTGTAATGCCTGTCATTAGGTTTGTTATGTGCCGAAAGCTGTTCGATTACCATTTTAGCGGCAGCTGATTCTCGAGATATTCAAGAGCCCTGTTAAGGTACGCCAGAGATTATCTGGTAATCAGTTGTGAAAATAGACATCTTCCTAAGCAAGAACTATTTGAATTCCACAGCTGCTTTTCAATTTGCTTCAAAATTGTGATTAAATGGATTACTCAAATTTTTAAAGATATTCTGCCTTAAATTAGTTCTTTAGGAATTAAAAAAGTTTACTGCTTTATTGAATGACTGATAAATTTCTGGTTATTAGAATACATTTTTAATATCTTGTTATATTGTGTGACATGCTCCATTTAGTCTTAAATCAGGAATAAGCTTGAAGGAACTAATAAATATTTTAGTTGAAATCTAGATTATATAAATCTGTACATATGTGTATGTTCATATATGTACATACATACCTATATATAAATTTATATACTCGTACACATCAATCGACAACCAGTTTCTCTCCATTTAACGTTAGAGCATCCCGTCGCCTGTCTTCAGAAAATCATTCTTACATACATATATCATTGACTTATTTTTTGCTGTCTCGCCAAAACTATCCATGGCGCTAAAGTTTTTCCAGCCACTTGTTTGGCGGTTTGGATTGTCAGTAAAAATGTTGTAGACTTTTTGGCGCCGCATAGATTACTGCTAACTGGCGCCATAGACGAGAGTGGGAAAGCAGAGAACTGAAGGATTTTCAGCATTTGATGGAAACTTGCTTTTGACTTTAACTTGGTCTCAAAGCGCGCCCATTAAGCAGCCATTAGATAAAAATAGGGTAGATGTATACACTCGTATATGTATATATATGTATAGAAGTCTGCTTGCCTTGACAACTGAGATAATATGGTACTTGTGGGGCTAATGGTGGTGGAGGTCTTTTAGCGGGGGCATGTCAGCGACACGACCGCGTCTTCAATGACAATTCTAATTTCATTTTCGCTGGCAATGAGAAGGAACTCATTCAGTTTTCCCTTGCCTCTTGAGGCATTCCAATTTCTTCGCGCCGCGCGCGCCTTGAGTGCCCCTTGAGTGCTTCAGCCACAGATCCTGGCAACGGATGAATAAAACGCTCGTAAAAATCAATTTCATCTGCAGCCTTTCGTTGGCATGCAACAGATTCCTTAATGAAAGCGATTCCACCTATTGTTCCAATTTCTAATTTGCGCCCAAGGTCCTTGAGAAATCAGTTATCCCGTCCTGGTGTGCCCATAAAATTGCATACCAATGCCTCACATTGTGCTCCCCATGAATGACTAAATGAACGATTGAATGGGGTGTGAGAGTTTGCCCAATATGCCTCACAACTTTATTGTATTCGAGCAGACCAAGGTGATGGAGTCATCGTCGCTGTCAATGGCTTCCGTGTGGGCACGTGCTGGCAACGTGCACGGAATTCCTGAGGCGCCGGTGAGCGTCCCGGCATGCCGAGGCGTTTGTTGTCACCGTTCTCCTGGAACTCCTGGAAAGTAGAGCTCCCTCTCGCCACTCCCCTTTAATGACTTGTTAAGCATGCCAATAATTTTACAGCTTTCCGGGGCCAGACACGTGCCAAAGTTTCGCGACGCCGGCTAGTCGGCAGTATGCATCAATACGAGAATATTTTGTATGCTGCATTATCCCGGATTGCCAGGTCAAGTTCATCCAACCACTACCAAGATCAACGTTGCGTTAAATTAAATTCTTTTTGTTTTTCTCTCTCTCTCTCTGTATAAAGTCCATTTGATTGCAATCATATTTCATTCTCGGCATATTGCCCATCGTCATCATTCTACACAGGTCAGCAAAATTTAAGTGCAAAAATAAACTTTTTTGTGAATGCCCTATATTTGTAGTAAATAGGAAAAGTCTCGTTTCGATTTTGATAAAGGTTTTTCTAAATCTAGCTATATTTTTCCCTCTATCTGTAATACTTATGTAGTCTCCACAATGTTATATAATTCCATGGGAACACTAAAGGTTATACGAAATGCACTCAATTTTGTTTCAGAAGAAACTCACCAAAAAAAAATAGCTTTTAAACTAAAAATGTCTTATATATTATATCACAACCCATATGTTTAGTGTCATCATATCATATTCGATTCGTTCACCACTCACCCGCCAAACACGCCCGTCGCCTTCTCCTTAAACGCCGTCAAGCCCTTCATGGTGATGCTGTGGCAGTGGCAGTGGCCGAAACCTCCTGGCTCTCACTCTTGTTCTGACTCCGGTTATGGATCTCCCACTTGGCTCACTGTGGTGCCCGTGCCGTGTCGTCCCTTTCCTAGCGCAGCGAATATTTTGCTCCGTTGACCGTGCCGCGGTTATCACTTGTGCGCATAAATATTCCCTTATTTTTGTGCCTACTTCACGGAGGCTTACCGTGCCAATGGGCGTGGCGAAACGGCTGGCGGTTAATTTCTGTGAAGCCAGCAATAATTTGACGACTTAACTCTTGGGTAAAGTGGGGGATTTTCACTTGGTCGCCATCTAATTTTGATTTTCCGCTGTATTGGCTTGTTCGAAGATGCTTTCTATGCCAGTGGGTTGTTTGCTGTTTCATTCACAGTTCCTGTGAAAGAGATTTGTACCAGTTATTAATTTGTTCGCCAATTTGTGTGCTGCTGCTGATAAGGAAAGCTTTCACTAGAGCTTCACCATTTTCCACATTTGTTGTAAGCTGCTTATGTTCATAAATTTATTTGTGTTTTTGATGCCTAACTGGGACTGGGGATTGGTGTAAGGACGGTGGGAGTGGTGGTAAGCCGAAAAAGTATTTTGTTAGAATTCTCCTGCTTTGAGAGTACGTTTTGATTGCAATTTATGCTTCATTTAATGTGGGCCAGAAATTTGAGACAAGTTTTTTGGGACGAATCCTTTTTAAAAGGGTCTAGAAAACATTAAAACTGATTCCATTTAAATAAAGTTTGGCAAATCGAGACACAGATTGCATGAAAAGTATGAAGTCCTTCGTATATAAATCATTTGATGAATTTTAAGAAATGTTCCATAGATGTTATGATGTGAGCATCATCTGCGCAGCAGCAGAATACTCTCACAACAACAATTGAAAATAATTGTATTATAGATTATAGATTTTATTATAAAATTTGCTTAGAAAATTGTTTATAATATTTTATCCTGTTCCAGGACACCTCTTGAGACAAATAATGTAGCTATATAGGATAACTCTTACTTGTGATCTCGTCTTTTTTCTTTGTACTTTCACTCTGTACTTATGACCTTTCCGAATTTCGCCTACTTACATGCCACACGAGTGTTACGTAATCCATTTCGCCGTTGTTCGTGCTTATGTAATCGCCTCTCGTTTCACAGTTTCGTTTAGTCGCGTTTAAGTTAAATGATTATTATTAGGCAACAAAATGATTTGATTATTTTAAACTTTTTTTGTGGTTGGTTAGGATATCACAAATAAGGTACACAGATAACAGATTCTTTAGCTTAACACTCAACACGATACGCTGCGAATGGAAGAAAAAGACAAGTCACGATTACATAACCGATTTGATTTTTGGGTTAAAGTTCATCTGTATTACTTGACTACATTCTCACAATTTCTGAGCAACACACGCCCCGAGAAAAAAAAAGTAGGAGTAAAAACTTTCAATAAACTAATTAAAACTTAAAATGTGAGACGACAACATTCAGACAGAGTTGACCCGGAGACCGACGGCAGGCTACGACGACGAGGATGATGGCGATCCGAATTCAACTCTGTCTGAAGACTGTGTGATAGCCAAGTCACTTTCAGCAGCGTCGTAGACCTCGCAGAGGATCATACAAGGTCCCAAGAAAAGGACAGGTGGCATGGATGGGGATGGCTGTGGGTACTGAGTACATAAGCAGCTATCTCAGTCGCGTCCTGAACTGGATGGTTGGATGACGGTAGAGGAGCAGGGGTATGGGGGAGGGGCGTAGTATATACACTGGAATTTTTCGACTACTGGAAACTGGAAGCGTGGGAACGCATGAGAAGATTTTTCCCTTTCAAGGGTATTACGAAGGAGTTTTTCGGGGTCACAAAGTGGATATTATTAACATTTGCGCATATTGCAGCAATCTGTTTATCACTCAACAATTACATAGTATTATTCAGAATATTTTCTCTATATATTCACATTCCCCTCTCTCTTTATATACCAGATGCAGCACTAACGCAGCTCCGAGCTCGCTTTGGCCTCAGCAGGACAACGCACGAAGTGAAACTAACATCATTCGCATTCGCCTTTCTTGTCTGCCCAGATGGGTGCCCTGGTCCAGATTATGCTCTGGCAGAGCATAATCGACCCGCCCGTCTCGCTCGCTCCCACTGGCCCCCGTGTGGTGAAAAGCTCTCCGACCGGTAGCTGCGCAGGCCCAGGAATGCGGACGGGCTGTGCCGGAATGCCGTACCCAGCATTGGTCGAGGGTTGCTGGCAACAGTAGCAAAGTCGCGTCCTGGCCGGAGTCGGGGCGGCCGAGCCACCTGGCCGGGCCAAACCAATCAGGAGCCGGGATTTCCCACCTCCGGTATATGGCCTGATGTGAGTGGGCGGCATGGGAATGCGGAGCAGTCTGGCATGCGAATCTCAGTCGTGCGTGAAATGCTATTAACATGTTGCCAGGCCATTTTCCATTATTTTCCTGCCCTTCCATATACCCGTACATATACATTCTCCTTCTGTCTAGCGCTGGGTCTGCTTCTCGGTCCCGTACATAGCACAAAATGTCAGCCATTTTGAATATTTGCCCTGTCTGCTCCGCTGGCTTGATTGCTCCAAACTCCAAACTCGAAAAACGCAGCGATTTATGGATGAGCACCGCCCCAGCAAACTCATTCCTCTTTCATTGATGAATGTCCAGTCTATCAAGCATTGATAGATTTTGTTTCTACGTGAGACTTGAAAACTAAATGAACTAAAATGTTTGGACTGTCAAAAACACTTTTAGGGGAATTCATATAAAAGAAATGGATATTTATTAGCTATTGACAGACGAGAATGATAAAAGTGACTGCAGAACATTAATAATGCAAATAATTAAAACATTAAAACAAAATCTTGTTGTACACATTTGTTTATTTATTTTTTATATTAAAAATATTTGTAGCCAAAATTATTTTATTCTATAGCCTTTGGCAATGTTTAGTTATAAATTCATAAGTATTAAAAATATGAAAAATATCGTATAGTACATATGTATATTGTTTAGTTATGGTCTGGGAAAACATATCAGTACACTTTTTATTAGTTATTAATTTATAAATTAACATAATTAATAGGCAGAAAAAACTTAAAATCTATTTATAGCATAAAAGTCAATCAGGAAAGAAAAAATAATAATGTAGATACATTCATATGTACATGCGCATGTATATGTTTACATACTTATACATTAAAGCCCATTACTCAGATCAAAATCAATGTTTACATTGATTAGAATCTGTTAAAATTTCAAATTTTCTATTAAAGCGATTAGAAATGTCTTATTTGTGGGCGCTGTGGAGCTGGAGGACGACAATGCACACTGCAATATTGGATAGATCCGATCCTGCGGGACAGAAAAGAATTCAACATGTTTTTTATCTCCTTATATATTCATAAAATGAGTACCGGATATAAAATTAATAAATTATATTATCCATTCGACTGCCTTAATTGGATTACATTTTTTTTTTCATTATTGCACTTTTCTAGCCGTCTCGCGCTTTTTTGGCTTGTTTCCTTCCATGTTTAATGTGTATTGATTGAGTGCATATATTCACCAGATTCAGTGAATTTTGAATTTTAAAATAATTTGACATTTCCCTCATGTACTCGTATGTACATACATATGAACACATTTTCAGTGAAATACCTACATATGTAAATATGTACAAAGTTATTTCAATGGCATCAAATATTTTTTCCATTTATTCCCCATTTAGTCTTTGACATTACTGTAGTATAAGCTTATTTAAAACGCAAACAAAACAAAAACCTTGGAATATTTGTTAACCATTAACCTGAAAGGAACAGGGAACATTTTATAATACCTTATTTCATGTACAGTGTCATATATAAAATATAAAATGACCATCTATATGTTTAATTCTTAACGAAAGAGTCCATTTGCTGATGGGAATTTTATACAGCAAATCCGAGCCATTTGGACAATGGGCCAGAATGTGATGTGATCGAACGGGGTATTATTTTCCATCGCTGAAATTAAAAAATCCAAGAATGGTTTTTCAAGTTTTCCTAAATTATTACAAAGTATGCTGTATGTGTAATTGCTTTCCTATTCTTTTCTTATTTTGAGCTGGCCTCTTAAAGTAGCCAATAATCTCAGTCAACAGTTTGTGCAAGTGCCCCGATTCTCACACACCCAGCACGACCAATTCATAATCCACAAATGCTATGGCTCATAGAGACCCCAGCTTCCGTTCTAGCCCCAGCCTTTAGTATCTCCTGCTCCCACAGCTCTCTGGCGACAAGGCCAATACGACGCATTGGTCTTACCCTCATAAGCATAAAGCAAACAGCCAAACAGTTGCTACTCAGCCAAAAGCTATAATAAAGTTGCGGAAGCAAACAGCAAAGCGAAATAAACAGGAGGTAGAACGAGAATGAGAACAAGAAAAAAACCCAGCTAGGAAATGAAATGAAAATCAACAAAACAGTGGCAGCTTCGGCAGTCATAGCCGCAAAGGATTTCGTATTCGAAAGGATACGCTTACAGGGCGAGGGCGACATAGAGAAGTGAGAGCAGACATTTGGGCAGACAGTTCCATAGACGGGATGGCGGCAAGCCCAATAACCAACAACAATAAAGCAGACGCCTCAGACACATCATCTGTGATATTAAATTTCGAAAAATCCTTGTTTCCTGCAACGTTTACTATTTAAACAAAGCGATTAGAGTTGCAGGGGAGAGCGCCTAAAAGCAGGCAGAAGGCAGTAGGCAGGGGCCTCCACATTGATTGACGTAAATGAAGAATAATCGAATTGCGCTCATAAAACTCTAAACTAAGTGGCAGCCTTGACAACGGCTCGAGTGTCAGTCGAACGTTCACAGTGCACAGTGGATGGAAATCTAAAATTTAGATTCTAAATATTTATGTGTTTATTGAACGTTGTTTCTACAAAGAATAATATATTCGATATATGTATGTGAAATAATACAATTTTCTAAAAGCCTTATATATACTTAAATATTCAAATCTTATTAAAATATATACTTTTTCTTTGGATATTTAACAATTTCAATTGATATAATTTTTGATAGAAGTTTTTCATACAAACGTTTACGTCTTTTAATAAATAGCCGCATGTCTAACATTATTTGTCATTGAAACACTTAATAAAACTTTTTAGTCATAATCATTTGTATACGTATAACTGCACAGATTGTTGTCACGATTCGTGAAATAAAAGTAAATAAATGTTCGTTTCCTTTATTACACCTTTTTTTTTTTATTTTACCCAAAATATTAAAATTGGATAGCAATATTCCTTCCAGTTCCACAGTGCCGCATTCTGTGGGCTCAGCCGAGCAACCGCCCTCATAAATTGCAAGCAAAAAAGTGTCAAACTTGAGTTGACAGGCCGGAGCCTGAGCCCGTGCCCGTGCCCGGAGTACGCTTCCCGTCGCCCGTCAGCGGTAATTAGTGCAGCATCGACCAAAAGTCGTCTTCAATTTCATTGCGCCAGCGTAATCATCATTATCCAGTCAGTTGTTCTAGCTGCTGATGTTCCTCCATCTCTGGCTGTCTCTGCCTTTTGCACTAATTACAAAATAACTTTTGAGGCTTTTGGCTCTTGCTGTGCCGTGTCAACTCTCTGTAATTTTTTGTGGGATTCCCCATGGTGTCTATGATGTATGGCTTTTCGTTGTCTGATTTATGAGGTATGGGGTGCGGATTACTCCGAGCAAAGGGTTTCCCGGGTACAGCTTCTCACGTTTTTAATTACCAGACCAAAATGTGACGACTTTAAAAGTTGGTCCTCATCGGAAGAACCACGACTCGGAGCCCCCACAAGTATACAGGACGAGAGATTTTCCCACACGGAAAGTCATGATGAGCGAAATTGATGAGCTTCGGCCGACTGTTGATCTAGCCGACTCATCCTGTCAATCCACATGTCCACCCACTCAATCACAAAACTAAACGCTGCGCCAGTCGATAAGCGTGCCACATACATAGTCCGTTCTGTATAGTAGTACGAGTAAAGTGCCACATCGGTGAAACCAAATCCGATGAGAGGGGTGGGTGCCACTGAGTGGGGTGTGGTACGAGGGTGTCTCTGGCACAAAACGATTTCGCTTCCGTCAGTCTGAGATTTAATATTTATTTTTGTTTGTGTGCAAATAGCTGGAAGCGTGAGAGATATGAAGTAAGTCTGGTATGAGATGGGGAAATGCGAACAAGAGGCTGCAGGGGATGACTACTTGGAGAGATTTCCTTTTATTTAATATAGACTTTATAAAAAGGATTTTCCTTAAATTTTACTTGGGTGTTTATATTATTTATCTGTAGTTGTATGCCCGCCACTCGAACTGTACCAGCCGCTGAGGATCTCTCAGGTTATAGAAGCCGTCGAAAAAGCAATACATTTTCCATTGCTCCCATCATATACCATCCATATCAATGTACATATTATTACTCATTATATTAGTTCATTCAGAAACCAAAACGAAACCAGAAAATGTGCACATCTTATTTTTCAATGAAAGGGAAAACAGGAAACACCAGACAGAATTATTTGAACACAATAC